ATGTATGACCTTGGGGAAAAGAGATGATAATAATAAGACCAACTGCATAGGGTTTTGAAGCTTGTGCGCTAGTATATGAAATGGGGCTTGACACATAGTCCCTTTCAACAATGCTAGCTGAGTTATCTGTCTTTATCCTCACATAACATTGTAAGGTAGGAGCTGTTACCCCATGCACAGGCTTAAAAACTGAGTGCTCAGAGGAGCTAAATGATTCATTTGAGGTTCATGGAAAACTAAGGAGTTGAGGCTCAAACTCTGGCCCATTTCGTTTTTACTGCATGAAGCTATCGTTCAAATAACAACTAAAATATAAGCAACATGAGTCAATTGATGTCATGTACAAGTAAAAAGAATCTGTATTTGAGGAATTTTCATTCAGATGTCCTGCGATTAAGAGAGATGCAAAATACTAAAAAATATATGTAGGGATAAATAAAAATGGCAGCATTAGCCAGTACAGTAGCTGATATGAATGCACATGAACAATTAACACTCATTTCATATTACAATGTAATTTTCTCACTGAAGCAAAAATGAATTTTCCCCTTTGGTGGAGCATCATCTCTGCCTTACTGTGGCGTATGACATGAATTTTTATATCCTTCAAGCTCTCCCGAAGACAATATATTGAATACTGGCATATTTCATTGTGAAAAATCCACTCTTTCTGTCTTATTTCTATGACCACATTCAGAACATTATTCTTAAACTTATTCTAAATAATTTATGCTTTCTCTAATCTTCATTTGAGGAGTTATGAACTTGAGTGAAGCCATGCACAGTAGGATAAAGGTGACTTCCGCGTGCCTGCACTGAAGTTAGGCAGTGCTAGTAAAATATCTCACGCTGTTATTTGGTTCATGAAAACTAATAACCTTGAGAAATTTAATTTAGAAAGCTGCACATTTTGAGTAATATATAGATTACTTGACATGTAGGTTATTATTCAATCGAGAGATTTTGTATGAAAATGTTAAATTAAATGCTAGTGGCAGTTGCTAAAGATTGTACCTTTTAATTATTCTGTTTTCATCCAGTGTCTCCTCTTCTTTGTCATTGACATTTTAGGTCGCTGACAGACTATTCCTTTAGCTCAAATGCATATTATCAATCCAGGTGATAGAGACACATAGTAGGCACTCAGTAAGTGCTTGCTGTTAAATAAGTGACCTTAATTTACCGTGCTCACTTTGTGGGTTGTTGCTGAAATGGTTTCGGCTTCTACTTCACTTTTTCAAGAATGCAAGGGATTTTACTGAGCTTCTCAGCCTCAGTGTGATTAATGAGATTTCTAAGCATGTTCAAATTGGTGCTATCGAATATCTAGGGCCTGAAACGAGAGAGTTGTTGATTGAGTATGCTTATGTCTCCTCTGACTGAGGCCAGGCAGAAAAAATAGACCCTCTTAACAGGGCTTAAAGTTTCTGATTGAAGACACTTTGAACTGAACATGAAGGCACATGATGTGTTACATGAGCTTCAGCAAGTGCTTGTTTACCCCCACATTTTAACTTAAGCTAGATGTTTGTATAGAGGGTAGAGAGATAGATACAAAATTACAAAGTTCTTCAAGTATCTGCCGTATTTAAGCTCTATTTTGTGATGTGGTTCTTTATATATTTGACTATCTCAGGGCAATGATTTCATTGGGATTTCTGAAGGCCCCATTTAGTTTTTGGAATAATTAGCCACAATCGTATTTGAATATATTTTAGGCGTCAGTAGTACATGGCACGGATGAGGATACTGCTGATTAAGTAAAAAAATATTTGTGTATAAAAGAACACAAAACTAACTTTTGTATGTCTTTGATCATGAAGGTGTGAGCTATGACTAAGCAAACCAATGATGAAGGCTCAGGAAAGGAGCCCACATCATACTTTATTACATCATTTTTGTCATATCTGTGTGTGAGAGACAAAGCTCTATTACCCAGATCTTCTACAGTGTCCATGGTCAGCAGAAACTGGAGAGACTTACACTCGTGTCAAGGTAGCTTGCACAAGCACTCGTTTAACTGTCATTAATACATGTGTTCTTAAACGGTTTGTAAACGCAGTAGGGAACCAAGTCACATCCATTCACAAAAGGCACTGCTCTCTCTATAGCAAGTGGTAGGTAGCACTCTTATTAACATGCATATAGGAGTGTCATGCATTTTTTATGTTTTGAAATTATTTTTAACTTCTTGTGATTGTCCGTTATTCTAAGTTGACCAGAGCATTTTGTAATTCCTGTATTCGAAGGTGTTAAAAAGTTTTTTCTTCTAAATTTGGTGTTGTTTGAAAATTTATGGCATATAACCTCAATTCTGGCACCAAATCTGATGGAAATATTCTGTAGCATTTGTTCTGGGTCTGTCCACATTGTTGCTGTGCTGCTGATCATTGCATTTTGTATGAATGTTTCTCGCAGAGTATGCAGGTTTTTGACAGTGGTCATATCCAAACCATTTACTCCAGCCTTAGGTTGTTGATTGAAATATTTTCAGGAATAAAATTAAAATTGTTACTGATTAGCAAATATTAAACCAGGATTCTTCTCTACGTCTCCACAGCCTTCCTCTGCCTTAGAGGAAATAAAGTTAAGGAAGGCATTCTTTCATTGATCACTTATTCAGTGAATATTTATGAAGCATTTGCAATGTGTGAGTGAGGCTGGGAACCGCGCAGCAGGACTGCATTAGTGGAAGGTAGATGCAGTCTCCACCCTCAGAGGCAGCTGGGAGTAGCAGGCAGAGCACTGAATTGTGAGTCCTGCCCCTTGAATTCCAGCTCTAGTGCAGCCATGAACGAGCTGCGTAATTTTGGTAGGTGTATATTTCCCAAGACCTTGGTTGCTTCATTTATAAAACTGGTAATTGTTCAGCTCTAACATTTTATTATCTTATAGCCTGAGTTCTTCTAACTTTGACACTTGAAAATTATTTTAAAAGCATGTCATCTTTTTATAATTCGATTATCTCATTTGCTATTTGACACTGAAGTACTTAAGACCCTGTTCTCCTCTTCCAACATAAACGCACACGCGCACGCATACACGCGTGTGCATGTGCGTATTTTGAGGATGTGTAATGCGTGTCTTAAGGGCAGAGTTTGGCCCTGCTCTGTAAATGTGTTCAGAAAACAATGTGACACAGATACTGAAGGCAGCTTGTTTTTAACTTGTAGCTAAACATGACATTCAAATGTTAATTGGATGAATAAATCTCGTTCATTTTACAGACATGGAAATGTCAATGGAATAAAACTATTTATCACAAGATAATGGTCTCCTGCCGCCAGATAAATGCCAAGATGAAGATACTTATTGAAAATGTATCAAAATATTCTATTGCTATTTATTGAAAATAAAGGTTGAGGGAAAGTTCAGCTTTTCAGGTCAAACATGAGAAATGCTCTGCCTGTGGTATTAGTGTATTACTATATCAAACCCAATGTGCACACTGTAGAGACATGGGGAAATTCTAAGAAATAATGGCCTCTAAAGGACTCTTTCAGCTTTGCAGAGCGAGAGTTACTGTAATAGTGCAGTGGGGGCTGGGAGGAGACACCTAATATTTATTTAGCTCTTATTAAGTGTCTGACATAGTTCTACGTGTGTTCGCTGATGTAAGCATCATGAGAACAAGATTTGAAAAGAATTACTGTCCTCATCAGCAGTCACACAGAAAAGAAGCGTGACCACCAGGATTCAAACTCAGCCCGGACTCCAAATCTTTCTCCTACCCCCACACCTCTAATTATATACAAGTCTGAATACAATGCCTTTTAGTTTGGGGGGGGGTGGAGTAGATTATTTCCCCAAGTTTTGTTGCATTTGCTAACCCAATATTTCTTTGTATCTAATGATTTCTTATACTAATGAGTTTTCTTTAAATGATATTGTCCACTTGCCTAAGGAAAACAGCTCAAGACCTGTAAGTCTTGAGGACTTGATAGCTCTGAATGGGCCACGTAGCACTAAATTCTAGCAGGTAGGCCACCTTCTTTCTAGCAGTGTGTAGTTAGAAGTCCTTGGGTTCGTTCCCTGCTTTCTTTTCCAAACTTAGACATCTGTTTTTCCATTTTACTTATCTTCTGACATAGTGGTCTTTGTAAAATACACTATTTGAGTGGTTAAGAATACAGGTGAATAATTGAAGTTGTTTAAACAAAGAAAAGGGGGATTATTGTTCACTAAAGCTTTTACTAATCTCTTCTTGCCAGTCCCTTCTGGGGTCCCTTCACCCCTAACAGCCCTTTCACCACCTGCCACAAACACTGGCTGCTTATGGCTCCCTCCTGTGGACTATCGGAGAACTGCAGTTTTCTGCTGGCAGTGACCACTTGCTTTCTACCCAGGATTTTAGTTACTGATATGCTATTGATATACTTGTCATAGTTTCCCTAGTAGTGAGGCAGGCTCCTTACTAGGAGAAACTGCGTGTTTTCCTTCTCTCTGTACCATATGGTATCCAACAGAATGATCTGAACACTACAGACACTTGGTCAATGAGAGACTGAAAGAAGCCTGTGTGTGGTCTCTGATTTTTAAGGACTATAGGAAGTACTAAGACTTCAGAGGTATCGAGGGCATAGAGGGGATAAATGGTAATGGAAAAAAATTAAATTTAATTTAAAAAAAAAGACTTTAGAGGTACCCATAGTATACCCTTCTGAATACGGGAATCTGTCTACCTGGTCCTTTGCTTGTATCTATTAGTTCTCTCTGAAACACATTTGGATTTTATGATTTTGTAAAATTCATAGAGGCATTGGATGAGCAGATAATTTAACTGCTAGATGATTACAAAGGAGAAAGACTTGAATGTTTAAATTTCCCTCAGGAAGAAAATCGTAATTCATATAGCACTCTTTTGATATATAGGTAGTATGTGTATGAGTGAGGTTTTTTAAAAAAAGTCATAATATTCTTCTGATAGTTTTAGATGGACACCAAGCACCACTGTGTCACTCGGATTACTAACTGCCAGTCTTTCCCATGCACTTTTGCAGATGGAAGACCTTTATCTCTGAAGGATATATGGGAAGGAGTCCATGAGTGCTACAAGACGCGGCTGCAACAGGGACCCTGGGACACCATCACCCAACAGGTTAGAGGATTTTCATTTTATGATACGTGATCCTTTCCCTCTGCTCATTTTTTCATCTAGTTCTCTCTTCCCTATTATTTTCCCTATTTCACTCTTCTGCATACTTACAAATTTTAATTCAGTTTCCTTAAAAAAAGCAACCTTCCTAGACCCAGGCTTGATTTAGGCTCCCTGTTATCAACTCTCATAACAACCTGTAATTTTTTTTTCTTAGTGCTTATCACATTTTAAATGATATATTTGGATATTTTTTAAAAAATGTTTGTCTTTCACACTATATGGTGCACTGTCATGAGGACAGGCATGTTTGTTTTACTCCTCATTGTCCACCCAGCACCAGCAGAGTTCTTAAAATAGAGTAGGTGCTCAATAAAAATGTATTACGTAAATGAGAATAGAAACTAGGTTGGCATATACACTAAAAAATAGATGATTTAGCCGGTGTCACCTCTGTTGTTTCAAAGTTTTATTTGTAGGAGTATTTGCAAAAAAATTAACTTTTGATTAACAATAGCTTCCTGATAGTGATCTAAAAAAGCAGAGAAAATAGATCTGCAAAAGTAAATATATAAAGTAGATTTGCAAAAGTAGAGAAAATAGATCTGTCAATCATATATGTCATTATACCCGCCTTGCTAAAATCAGCAGTTAATTATTTTAGAAATTTAAAAATACTCATCACCTTGCAACCAATCATGATCTACTTAAATATAATTTTTACTTATATCAAAATCTTATTTTTCCAAGGCTCTGTTAGGCTTAATCAAAGCTTCCTTTAAAAATGACTTTATCAACCATTAGCATTTTTATGCCCTCTTATGTGTTTGATCAAAATAATGACAGTTTACCTTCCAATCAACATAAGAATCCTTAGCATTTTATAAGTAGTTCTTTGACAATGATTACAAATGACCATTTTCTAGGTCTTAATTGAGGGTATAACTAGATTTAAGTATATGTGTCTTTCACACTGCCCCTCAGATTAATTTTTCCCTTTCTCTTCCACTCTGACCCTCCTACATCAAGCCCTGTGCCTCACCTGAAATCATTAGTGAAGCCCCCACCCCAGGTCTGCTGCTGCTTCCCTGCCTGCCCCTGACCACGGCTGCTTTTCATCCTGCTCCTGCGCAGGCCTGCGGCAGCTCCCCAAGGGCCTCCGGCATGTGGGCTGAGGGGCAGCCGCTCCGTGGCACTAACTGCCCTTGTAAGCTTACCTTATTCTCCCCTCCACGCGGGCTCAGCTTCTGCCAAGCATGGCCATTCATTTCCCTGAATGTGTCTTGTGCAGTGTGTTCTTGGAATTCTGTGCAGGTTCAGTACCGTCCCTGTTGCCTTTGTTCTGTCTTTACAGTCCCTCCTCTTGTTCCCTCCATTGTTCCTTTCCCTGAAACCCCCTCAGCTCCCAAGAAAGGCTCCCTCTGAAATCCTAGTTATGTGGAACAGGCATGGGGCGGTTACTAGGATAAAGGGTAATGAGATATGTAAGCAAATCAACCGTAAAGATTTTTGGCAAGGGCATTTTATTTTATGCAAAATATTTTAGATTGACCTTTAAGTATGTCAAGGTGAGTGCTAAAAGTTTCAACTCCCAGTGTCTGGTCATTGACCTCAAGCCTCCCAGACATGTATGCCGTCACACCAGAATCCAGAGGACCCCGAAAATGTTTGTTGTGAGAGTGAAGGAAGATGGCAAAAGCAGAGGACAAGAGCATCCAAAAATATAGGTGTTTAACTTTACTACCCTTTTTTCTCAGCTCCTTCTCAGTTATGTTTTCCATTATGTTCCTGAGCCCAATTCTTATAGTTTTTCTTTTTCGGTCTCTAGCAGCTCTAACCTCCTCACTGCAAGGCCTTATCGCACAATCCCTGGGTGTCTATGTCATTTTGGATTTTAATTCCACACGTCTCTGTTCTGATTCGTGCCATAGGAATAGGACTTTGAACTCAACCCTGTTTTCTTAGTTTCCTAATGTTAGGTTATGAATAGATTTTGTTCCCTTATTTCATTCCATTAATAGAACTTCTAAGCTGTAAACCAACCAAGTGAACCAACCTGTACCTTACTTGCTCTTAATGGGATTGATTAATACCTTTCCATTTTTAGGCCTGTGAGTGCCAAATAGATAATCTCTTAGTGGAACATTTTTTTCTCCCTATCGTAGCATAGTAGTACCGATCGAATCCAGTCGCAATACGCATTACTCTTCCTAACACCAAGTGTGGGCCCACTTAATAGGAGGGATATTTGATATTACCAAACTACAACACAACTATAACACTTAGATGTTCCTTTGGAGTTTGTCTTATTGGGATTGACTTGTGGACAGCTGTCCTACTTTTGATAACAAACTTTATTTAAGCTTTAGAATTGCTCATCACAGTGCATGTCAGGCACTTAAAGACCTAGCAAGAGAAACTCATCTGTTGCCATTGTACTACTGGGCATTTGAAAGTCATCACGAATATTTCCTTTGGAGGTCTTGGTTTTCAGCCCCAGATTAGCTAATGGTTTGGTGTTTATGTGCTTAAAGATCTTGAGATCTTTGAGAGGATGGGTCTCCGTTTTTTGTAAGGCCCTGTATGGAGGAAGAATAGTGGGATAAAGGGGAGGGTATGAGACAGCCCTAGGGGAGGACGAGCTGATGGAATACAGGGTGGGGCAGAAGTAGGTTTATAGTTGTGAGTACAAGAAACACAAGAGTTTATCCTTGCATTGTTATTTATTAATTACTGTATGACTTTCCACAGGAACAACTGTGAACCTCCTTTTGCCCCACCCTGTGTTGATGGCACCAAACAGTAGATACTGTTTCACAGAATTATACTAAAGAACCATTAGCTTGCACACTGAACATGGTAATAACATCCTATCCTCTAGAGTGGCTTGGAAACAAAAGCAGCCTTTGCATAATATAAAATGCATTTCAGTTCATTTTCAGGCTTGATTGTGCTTTTATAGTTTGTTGCTCTTCATCTTTAGTAATCACACTTCTGTTCTCTCAGCATTTGTCTTGATGATAAGGACCTGCTCATGTCAGACACAAACCCTCTCTTTTGAAGACAAGCCACTCATGAATCTCATACATTTGATTATGGTGATTACTTACCTGCTTTTGTCCAACATTACAGACTACCTATTATCTCAATCCTGCAGCCTAATAAAGACTCCCCCCCCTCCTTTTTTTTTAAGAACTTCTGACAGAGAGTTAACAGATGCCCAGGTTGGATCTGCCTAAATTGGTGGACTGAACATGACAGTAATGATCACCGGAAGGTGTGGGCTCTGTGTTTCAGGTAAAGAGCCCCTGTGATCTTGGCACAGTCTAAAGTCATTAGATTAAAAGGCATACTTTCAATTTTACTTGAAGATGTGTCTGTTTATGTAGGTGGGTGTGTAGCGGTCAGAGAAGTAATTTTTTCTTACCGTTCTCTTTTTATAAACACATACAAAGATAGAGATGACAGTATAATGTACTTATAAACCCATGGCTGTTTTTTTGTTTTTTTTTTGTATTTCACCCAATGTGGAATTATTTTGGAAGCAAATCCTAGACATCATATTATCTCACCTATAAGTATTTAAGGAGATATATTTTAAAGGTAAGGGCCCTACACAAGTGTTTATAGCAGCTTTATTCATCATAGCCCATGGAAACAGCCCAGATGTCCTTGAGAGGGTGGATGGCCAAACAAACTGTCATATGTCCTTACTACGGAAAATTACTCCGCAGTGCAAAGGAACCAACTACTGATACACTCAGTAACCTAGATGAATCTCCAGATAATTATACTGAGTGTAAAAAGCCAGTCCCGAAGGTTGCATAGCGTGTGATTCCATTTATCTAACATTTTTGAAATGACAGAACTGTATAGATTGGAGAACAGATTTGTGGTTGCCAGGGTGGAAGGGAAGTGGGTATGGCTGGAAAAGGCAACGTGCGGGGAGTGTTCTGTATCTGACCGTATCAGTGTCATTATCATGGCTGTGATATTGGACTATAGTTGTACAAGATGTTACCACTGAACTGGGTGGAGGGTATAAGGGATCTCCTTGTATTATTTCTTACAACTGCATATGAATCTACTGTTACCTGCACACAGAAAGTTTCATTTTAAAAAAGAGGTAAAGACTCTTAAAAATATAACCACAATTCTGTTATCACAACTAAAATTTTAATTTTTAAAATATCTTTAAATAACAATTGATGTTTAAATTTTCCCAATTGTTATATTTCTTTTTACACTTTCTTTGATGAGGATCCAAATGAGCTTTACACAGTAAAATGATTAACATCTCTTAAGACATTTTGAATCTAAGATTCTCATTTTTCTCTCTCTCTTTTTTTTCTTCTTACAGTTTTTTTGTTGTTGTTGTTTTTGAGAAACATGGTTGTTTGTCCTAGGGTATTTGTAGTCTGGGTGTTGTTGTTTTTCTAATTGTATCTCTGTGTTGTCGTTTAGCGTTACTCCCTGTATTTTCTATAAACTGTAGTTAGATCTTGAGGCTTCCCCAGATTCAGATTTGGCTTTTTGGGCAAGAAAACTTCCTGGGTTCTGGGCACTTCCTTCAGGAGGCACATAAAGTCCAGTTATTGTTCGCAGCCATTGATGATTGTTACCTAAATTCATTAACTCACTAGGGGTTGCAAGATGGTGATGTCCTAGCTCTAACCACTCATTCTTCATTAGCTGGACTACTTCTGTAATGACAGTGTCTCTCACCAGCTTAGTTACCTGACGCATGTTTCATGCAGAAAAAACAGGACGATGCTTGACCCCTTCTCTTTATACTCTAGCTTCCCAGGTTATGAGTTGGTTCTGTAGCATTTGTCCAAGGTGACCAAGAACTGTTTTTTATGTATCTTTATGAGCTCATGGATATAGATGTTTTATGCATTTCAGTTCATCATAGTGATTATCTTTATCGATGCTGATTTGCCTTGTCTTTGGCCAGTGAAAGTTTCTTTAACTTGGCTCCTGAGCTTTTTTGATACCACCCA